GAATATACAAAAGCCAACAACTTGCATAACATATCTCAGAAGCCACAAAGCCTAAAAAACTTCCAAGTCCATCAAACCTGAAGTATTCAAACATACACGCCCAAAGCCCCTTTTCAAAAACCTACATATGCCTTCAAGCAAAAACCTGCCTGAAACCTAAAACCGATTCAAACACTTAAGCCTTACCTGTGTCAAAGCTTAAACAAACATAAACTCAAACAGCAGCATCAAGCTTAAACTTATACCAAGCCTGCAAGCCTAAGCAACAACCATAACCTACAACTCAAAAGCCCTCAACCATAACAACCATAACCTGCAACTCAAAAGCTCTCAACCAAAAGCCATAGCCACAAACTAAAGCCTAAGCATTCAAGGCAACGAAAACCCTCAGAAAATTTTCGTCATTGGGTTACCCAACACCATCAAGCTAGCATACAGAAGCATACAGAAACAGAAGGAGAGGAATAGCATTCAATATTCAAATACCAACAAGCATATTCAGGGCCAACAACAACATCCATATTTCTCATCACTTAGAAGCATTTAAGAGCAATCAATCACATCAAATATACAAAAACATCTTAGATAATTCATCATTGAAAGCAAGCGAGTAGGAGACGAGGAAAAGAAGTGATTTTATACAATGTTTTCAGAAGCTCATCACAAAACCCTAAAGAGGCAAAAAATAAAGATACCAGGGTTTCCAAGCAAAGTGCGTCATCACCAAGCCTCCGCCTTGGCCGCCTCAGCGCCTCCCAATCCGCCTCCTCCTCCGTCAAGGTAGTATCTTTTCTTCCCTTCCCTTTCATACCTCAAACAGAAACAAATGCTTAATCAGAATCAATAAACAAAAGCGAAGCATGCAAGACATAAAAGTGAAAACCCTAACGCATTAAGAGAGCGAAATCATCACCTTCGTACCATATCACCGAGCAATCCGTGGGGAGAAGAGGATACGGACGATGGCGCTGGTGGCTAGGCAAAGGGAGAATCGCGTTCAAGGATGTTTGGTTCAAGGAGAACGAAAGACGAACGAAGCAAAACAACAACGGCGCCGTTATCAGCCAAACCCTAAATTCCCAAAAATGAAATAACAATGTTGAAACCCTCACGAAAAATGTGTAAAAACGCATGGGCCCGCCTCTGCCTTCAAACGCCTAAGCCCATTGCAAGCTGAGCGCACCCCCCCCCCCCCCCCCCCTTTTTCTCTTTATTTGTTCTTTTTGTTCTATTTTGTTTGGGTCAGCATGAACACCCTACAGGCCCATTTGCTTTTTGATTCTTTTTTTTCTATTCTTTTTTCTATTTTTATTCAAACTAAATATTTTTGTTTGTTTTCTTGTTATATAACACTATGTATTTTGTAAATAAAATAAACATATTAACTTTTTATAAAAACTTTCATAATTACTTTTTTAGTATAATACATAAAGATTAAAATTTGGAGTTAAACAAATTTCTCTTTTAAAACTTTTTTATTTAAATGCTAAACCTTGTATATAAAAATACTAATTAAAATACATAAACTTTGATTTTTTTCTCAAGCTTAAGACTTTTTCTCTTTAATTAGAACCCTTGTATAAAATATTCATTAATACATGAAAAAATAGAATTTCTTAAAACCATTTTCTTTTCTTTTTTGAAATATTTTGTTTTGTACATATTAACAAAATACGAGAATACAAAATAAACCAAATATTTAATTTTTCATTAAGTTAACAATACATTATAATACATTAAAACACACATTCCTCACCTTGTAAATAATCATACACTTACACAAATGCATTTACAATACACATTTTATATTTTTATACATTGATACATTTGCTATTCTTATACATTGCTATACATTATATTTTACATTTACGCAATTCGATTTGGTTGTAATTATTTGGATACTACTCTCCTATAAGTCTCATCCCTCATTTGTATACTTGTACCCCCACTCCCGGATACTATTTTGTAATAGCGTAGACTTTAAATTCCTGCAATTTACCGCTTTCAAATATACCATGGTTAGACCTAGGGTTTGTATGTACATAAAATCAAACGCTAGATAATCTAATACAAGACAAATACATGAAATCAATACACCATTCACACTTGCACCCCTAGGGTAATCCCACATGTTGCCTTCCAAAATGGGCCATGCTTGCACGCCGAGTTTCTTTGGCAAAACAATTCAAATGATCGTAAGTCCCTCGATGACGCTTTCGAAAGTTGCCTAAACGGAATGATCATAGTCCCTTCGAGCAAATTGCCAAAGACACTCGGCACCATTGCATTCATGGTCCATACGATGACCCGCGCCTGTCCGTCAAAACATCCTAAACGCAAGATTGTCCACCAAATACAATGGTGGAACAAAATTGTTTAAAAGGGTTAAAACATGAGAAAAACCTTTGAGTAAATTTAGGGGTAGACAAAACTCTTAGTTACTTGACAAACTTGCAAAAATACTTGCCTACTTTTTTAAACCACACTCCACAAACACTTTCAAAACAAACTTTCAAAAACATTTGAAACATATTTTCGAAAAGATACACACCTTTGTATATACTCAAACACGAGTCATTACAACGGTTGCCGAAACAAAGGCGTCTATTTCAAAACATTTTCAAAACACAAATACACACACCATTTCAAGCAATCAAAAATCAAGGCAAGTGATCTAAAAACCAAGTAACTAAGAGCCCATGGATAACCATGGATGAAAATGGTGCTAATACCTTCCCTTTTCATAATCTACCCCCCGAACCCACGAAACATCTCAAAAGGTTTTTCCTGTGCTTTTTTAACCTTTCCTTTAGGATAAAATAAAAAGTCGGTGGCGACTCTTGCTAATCCGAACAAGTGTGAAAACAAACGCAAAATCTCAAGTCAGTTCTCCCACCGTATCACACCAGGTGAGTAATATCGAAAACCATGAGCATACATTACAAAATGTGGGACAACAACATGAAGAGCAACAACATAAAGAACGACCAATAGAGAGAGAGAGAGAGAGAGAGAGAGAGAGAGAGAGAGAGAGAGAGAGAGAGAGAGAGAGAGAGAGAGAGAGAGAGAGAGAGAGAGAGAGAGAGAGAGAGAGAGAGAGAGAGAGAGAGAGAGAGAGAGAGAGAGAGAGAGAGAGAGAGAGAGAGCACCTAGTAGGCTGCAAGATTACGAAAGTGGTGAGGGTCTCTCTGAAGAAGAACAAGAGGTCGGAATGGTTTTATTCATGTCAAATAATGATCTCACAAATTATAAAGAAGTTATGAATGATGTAAAATGGATAGAAGCCATGAAATGTGAAATAGATGCCATCGAGAAGAATAAAACATGGGAGTTAGTGAATCTACCAACACAAGCTAAGAAAATTGGAGTGAAATGGATTTACAAAACCAAATTGAATGAAGAAGGCAAGGTTGATAAGTACAAAGCAAGACTCGTTGCAAAAGGGTATACACAGACAAAAGGGGTGGACTATAATGAAGTATATGCTCCCGTTGCACGATGGGATACAATTCAAATTTTATTGGCTATGGCAGCACAAAAAGGATAGAATGTGTACCAACTGGATGTGAAAAGTGCCTTCTTATATGGAGAATTGAAAGAAGAGGTATATGTGGATCAACCTGAGGGCTTCATTAAACACGGAGAGGAAGAAAAGGTATATAGACTGAACAAAGCCTTATATGGCCTAAAGCAAGTGCCAAGAATATGGTTTAGCATAATCGATAGTTACTTCCAGCGAGAAAGATTTACAAAGAGTAAACATGATCATACTTTATTCATTAAGAGAAGAGAGGAAAAAGTAATCATGGTAAATATTTATGTTGATGACTTGATATGTACTAGGAATAATAAAGAACTGTGTGCAATATTTAAGCAGTCAATGATAAAAGAGTTTGAAATTAAACTGATCTGTGAAACTTAAGAGACTACTCAAAGCACAACCACTTGAAGTTAAACTGTATGCTCAATGAACATTTTAGTTTAAGTGAAGGAATTTGATTTACTAAGAGTTGGTCTTTATTATAAATAGAAATGATAAATTAGTTAAGTTTAATAATATGGAATAAGTTGAATAAGTTTCATTAGTTATTATAGTTTTATTCTTTATTATTATTTGAGATTTATATTGAAACTGTAAAATTTATATAAAACCATTATATTTCATTTATAATAACAAAAAATTATCACACTTATTAATATTAATAAAATTATTACTACTTCTTCAAATGCTCTTATATTATTTCGTACTTAATAAGTTTTTCATCCTTATTCATTATTCTTTAAATACTCCTATATCATTTCGTTTCGTACTTAATAAATTTTTCATCCTTATTCATTATACTTCCGATATTAGCCAATTTTACTTAGCCGGTAAGTATTTGTTTGATGATTAATTAAACTCACTTCAGTTAATAATTTATTTTGTATCATCCCCTATTTTTTGATAAAAATATTTGATCTTATATATATTTTTATTAAGTAATGTAACTGATTTTACTTAACCTCTAAGTATTTGATTAGTCAATTTGACCATATACCACAAAAAAACGGAACACACAATATACATGCGTCAGTGTCATTGTCACTAGAGTTCTATAAGGTTTTTGAAAGTCTTGCATAAATTAATAACAGTTTAATTATAACAAAGTAAATATAGATTCTATTTAATTATTATATAAAAATCCAACCAATCCCAACACAGTAACAGTATCTATATCACCAAAAATATCTAAGCATACCATCACACACGTGACAACGACAGAACCAATAAACAACGTAATTGCAACGAAACAACATAATGTCGGCGTTTCTCATATGACATTTCAATTTCATTCTGCAACTTGCATCCTCACCATGGCCCCAGTTCTCTTCCACCGCCATCAAACTACTACTATCACACTCACCACCGCCCTTTCACCCTTTTAATATTCATCACTTCATTCACATCTCTCACCAAAAAAAAAAAAAACTACCGTTTTTTCTGTTATTCAAACCATAACATGAATCCAAATGATGACAAAAACTCTCCCAAGTTTGATGCATCAGTGCCTGTGCCTGTTCCTATGGAGTGTTTACTGATGAACAACACTGTTCCTCCATTTCTGTCAAAAACATTCGAATTAGTGGATGAACCTTGTTTGAATCCGATTATATCATGGAGTTCTAATGGTGCTAGCTTCGTTGTTTGGGACCCTTTGGAGTTTGCTAGAATCATTTTGCCTCGACATTTCAAACACAACAATTTCTCAAGTTTTGTTCGTCAGCTTAATACTTATGTGGGTATTGTTTGTATTGTACTGTATTGCTTTGTCACTCACTCCTAAATGTAACTAACTAACTATTTTTCTTTTTCTTCTTTTGGTTTGTAAGCATTTGTAACTAACTAACTAACTATTTCCCTCTCCCCCTTTGTGTTTGTATACTTTGATTGAATGTATCAAATGGAAATGTAAATAATTCTTTTGCTGATTGTATTGTATGAAAATTTTGCATATTTTGATGTGTTGAGGTATAATCTCTAGTGTCCTGTGTAATAAGATAAGCATATGTTTGTTTCCTTCTGATTGATTACATTGTGTAGTGATATCATTCAGAGACTCCTAGTGCTGGAATTAGCAACATAGGAGACATTGTTGCTCTCCCTTTCAAGGGATTTTTCATCTTCCAAAAGGTAGTGTATTCTGAGTTTCTATGGTGTGTTTTGTTTTGTAAGTTGATGTTGATACTATTGTTTTGTTTTGGATTCACAGATATTGCATTCTCCAATACAGTTATAGTTGTATTGTATGTGCTGATAGCTAGTGGCATAAGTTTTGGTGTAATAATAATAGCTAGAGTAAATATCTTGTTTTTTTTCTTCTTAATTTGCTATATGTTACATGTATCTATGCTTCATTCATTTAGAGATAACTTGGTGTTTGTGTGCAGGGATTCCGAAAGATCGACTCCGACAAATGGGAGTTTTTTAATGAAGGTTTCCAGAAAGGGAAGAAGCACTTACTGAAGAACATTCAAAGGCGTAGGTCGTCTCAATCTCAACAAGTTGGTAACTATGTTGGATCTTCTTCTGATGCAGGTATTGCAAATCACGTCAAGACTTTTGTCAGACCCTCGATTTTCAGAGGTTCCGCGCAGATTAGTCATTGTTTATATGTGGCAAAATAAATAGGGCCCTACTTTGCTATGGTTTAACCACACAAAATTTAACCGTGTTGTATGGTAGCCCGCCTTAAAGACAGCCCTAACTATTGTATAATGTATATCAAACTAGTAACTAACTAACTATATCTCTAATAGCAGGGAAATTTGGAGCTGAGGTTGAGATAGAAAGATTGAAGAAGGAAAGGAGTGTGTTAATGCAACAAGTAGTTGATTTACAACAACAGCAGCGAATGACGGCTCGTCGTGCGGGAAATGTGAATCAAAGGCTTCAATCTGCTGAACAAAGACAGAAACAAATGGTTTCCTTCTTAGCCAAGTTGTTTCAAAATCCGGACTTTTTAGCGCGGCTTAAGCAGAAGAAGGAACAAAAAGGTATAGAATCTCCAAGACTCAGAAGGAAGTTTGTTAAGCAGCATCAAAATGAAGAAGAGAATCTCAAAGATGGGAAGAAGATAGTGAGGTACCAAGCAAATTGTGAAAGTAAAGAGCCAAGTCCAGTTTCCATTGAACACTCTCCTCACTATCTTTCACATGATTTAGTTAAAGAAATGAGTGCAGGTGAAGAAGACTTTACTTCTCAAATTGAGAATATTTCAGTAGATGAATATGCTGCAATGCATGATATTTTATCACCTAATTCAGAAACCATTATTGGTGAAGGATCATCTAGCTTTGGACTTGATGAACAATTTGTCAAAGGGAAAAATGTTATTAGTCCAAATGAAGGAGTTATTACTGAGAATTTTGAAGGGTTTCAAGAGTTTCAATCTCTTGGGACAGAAAGTATTATCAAGCAAGAAGACATATGGGGTCCAAACATGAATTTTGGTTCAAGTTGTGGGAATGAGATGTGGGGAAATCCTATCAACTATGGAGTTATTACAGGTGAGATGTCAGAGACAGATATGTGGGATATTGGTTTTGGATGTTTGGGTATTGATAAGTGGCCAGGTGATGAATCTTCTTTTGATGAGATTGATGGTCAAGCTAGTCAGCCAAAAGATTATTAGACACTTAGCTGCTCTGCATTTGTTGCCTTTGAGCACTTCTAGTAGTTTCCAGGGTCACATATTATTGAATAACTTTGATTTATAAACAATATTTGTCAGTTTGCATTCTTTCTTTATTTCCACTTCTTTGTAAATTCTAATTCTTTAATTTTATTATTGACAACTTCCATTCAAAGGCTTTGCAACTGAACCAACACATGAGAGATTACTTTGATGTCATTCATTTCCTCCTTTGAATATTTTTTTCATTTTTCGTTTTCCGCATGAACACATTTTTCCAAACCACCTTTGCGAACCTACATTGAAAAAACAAATGAACACAAGATTCCGAGCGGCAGCACATTTTACATTGTTGTTCTCTAATGGTACTCCCCTTCAAGTAACTCAACCTGTGTCTGTATTTGGCATAGTAGAATTTTCCAAAGAAATCTACTACCCGTTGGTAAAGCATCTCAAAATAATCTACCTCAAAAGAAAATTTGCAATCAACAAGAAACAATTGGTATTTTGTTTCAAATTCAATTGTGAAATTTTCAGCTAGATGAAGCAGCAGTTAAAAGGCAGTAAGATGCTGCAAACACAGCCAAATTTTCTAATGGGTCGTTCCAAATATTACAGAAAATCAACAGGAAATAGTCGGTGCAAGCTATAAAATGTTAACATCTAACTGTGATCAGAAACTGTGTCCAACTGAACATACAAGCAATTTAACAGACATCTCAATCTGGCAAAATTTTAAGGAAAAAATATGCTTACAAATAAATGGCAACAAAACCCCCCTCCCTCTATAGGTAAAATGAAGAAAATTCATGTCACCTAAACAACATGCAATTTTAATGTAATTTGATTCTACAGCGGATCACTTCATAATCAAAAGACAACAAATGTAATTTATAGTATTTTAAGAATCTTCCTTCTTCTTTTTGGATGCATGTTCATCACTCCCACTTTTCCGCTTAGCTTCTCGGCGCTCCCTCTTCACTCCTTTTGACTTATTGGGCAAAGCCATTTCTCCGATCTAAACAATTACAAATTGTTATCATTAGCACAATCAATACTCAGAATAAACTAACTCAAGGGATGCAAAGATTAAAATAGTAACTCTTACCTTCTGATCTGGAATATAAACATTTCCAATCTTCCCTTCAATCGGATCCTTTTTAACATTCTTCTCCTATGAGCAAAAGTGGAAGTAGACAATTTAGACATGGAACTTTACTTAACATAAACTAAAAAATATGAAAGATTTAGAAAATTAGTCAACCTTTTTCTTTGGCTTGTCCCTTGACGTTCTCATGGCTTCCTTCCTCACACTTTCATTAGGAGGACGAGTCCGGCGAATAACCATATCCATGGAGGGGCCAACTTCTACCAATTCCATTCTTGGGACAACTGTACCTGATTTTTTCAACCGCAGTGCACAGTGTGTGAAAAACACCTTAGTCGGAGACAGGGCCGTACATATATATGCACGGTCCACTCCGGCAAGGTTTAAATTCTCCACAACCTGCATGAATAATGTCCATTACTTGTTTTAACATATTCCAGCTACCGACAGCTAGCAACAAAAGAAAGTGAAATAGAAAGACGCACCTCTCCACGAAAAAGATCAATTAAAACTTCCTTCAAGTGTTTGAGTTGTATCATAGTCTCAAATCCTTCTCCAATGAATGCCATAAAAGGCTTTGTCCCTTCCTTTGGAGCTAGTTTTTTATCATAAATAAATGACTCCATGGCTTTAAAATTTTCAATCCCAACTTCTACCAAATCATAGACATGGTGATCGTATGTTCTCCCAATGACAAGGTTATTAGGTCGCTTCTTTGAGTGAGATCCATACTGCAATATACACACAACATAAAGCATTGCTATGTACGAAATAAATAATGTAATTAACAACTTTACATAAGGGAAAGTAGCATAGAAAAAGAGAAATTACGAGAAAGAGACTGCAATCTGTTTTGAGGGAGAAAAACTCCAAAGAGGTCTCACCACCAGCTTCAAAGGGGTTAATATTATCATTCTTACGGCTATACTTGACAGCACTTTGCTTCTTGAGGTGATAAATCTGAGTCAACACAGCATTCAAAACCGCACTGCTTTTCGTCCCGTGAAGCAATAGAGTTTTCTTCCCAGATTCAATCTGTAATCAAACCACCAAACTCAAGCACCGTTATAAAAAAACAAACAAAAAAGAACGGAATCGAAAGAAGAAGCGATGATGCTTACGATTTTGGGAGCACGTTTCTCGAGTTCCCTTCTGACTCTTCGTGTCTTGGCGGTTTTGATTTCCAACATTGCAGCCAGAAGCGTGTGTGCGGTTTGCGTTGTGATGTTACAGGGAAGAAGGCGATAACCCTTCTTGTGTGTTTTTTATATTTTAGGGTTTTAGATGTTAAATAAAAATGTGTTTTTTTTTCGTTAACTGGGCTTGCTGTTTGGGCCCTTCATTCGGAAGCTTGAGAATACTTAAATTTGGCACTCCCAAATTGAATGAAAACATCATAATATTCTTGCTCTAAGTTTCCACCAATTTTAAAATTTATTCAATCTAACTGAAAATTTTGAAATCTATCACGTGATACTGGAAATTTCAAGCAGCGGAAATTCTTCAAAAAGTGAGTAAAATATCATAAAAGTTGGAATTGTCACATGATTTTTTCGAAAATTTTAAAATTTTTGAAAAATCTTATAAAAAATTATGAAAACCAACAATTTTAAAGTTGTTAGTTTTATTAAGTTCATTTGTATCAAAAAAAAATTTTCAGTAGTCTAGAAAATTTTGAAAAAATTTTAAAATTTTCTGGTACATGCTTCTTTCTATTTTTCAGTGATAACCAGAGAGAAGAACGAGTCAATTGGACTCAGGATAGTCAATAAAGTGACAACCTGAGTTAAGTCTACTGAGGTAGAGGATTCCTAACTATAGGGTGGACGAGTTGTTTCGACCGGTTCTCACTAAAACAAATGGTTGAGCAAGTGCAAGTTCAGTTATGCGTGCCCCGGCGCCAAGCAGCTATAGTTGTTGTTGAGGAGGTTCATCTTGCTCAGGTTGTTCTTATTGCTGATGAGGAGTTTCTTGTTGCTAAGGAGGTCCATGTGTCAGTTACAAATGCGGAGGTGGCTCTCATACATCATATTGACGATGATGATACTCCTACTGATGCAAACGATATAACTCGTGCTTCTATAGAGGCATATGTTCATATTGGTGAAGCATTCTCAAGAGGACCCAATGATCGATCAGTGCTCATGGAGTATGCTAACCATGTCTCATACAGATTATTGCAATGAGAGGTATACATGTTTTATGTTTAACTACAAATTATTTATTATTGTTTCGTATGTGTTAAAAGTTTACTGATAAATTTCAACTTTGTTTGTTATAGGACCGTTATCCGCTGAATGTGATCTCCCACAATGTAAAGATGAAGAACTTCCAACTCAATCTGATGCCTGACCAGGCCAGGCATATTGTTTTTTATTTTTGTCTTCAGGAGTTCGTCAACTGCTCACTGACCATGCTTAATGCTTTATTTTTTACTGCTTTTGTTAAGCGGTGGCACAAGAAGACATCATTCTTTCATCTTCCATTTGAGAATGTGACTATCACTTTGGATGGCGTCTCCTCCTTGTTCCATCTCTCTATCACGGAAAGATTTTTTACTGCTCACTGACCATGCTTAATGCTTCATTTCTGACTGCTTTTATTGAGCGGTGGCACATGGAGACATCTTTCTTTCATCTTCTATTTAAGGAGATGACTATCACTATGGATGGTGTCTTCTCCTTGTTCCATCTCCCTATCGCCGGTAGATTTTTTACTATTCTTGTCATTAACCAGACGATAGCATTACTACAGGTTGTAGAGGATTTTCAAGTCACTAAGGCAACCGTGCTAGAAGGGTTTGAATTTAACAAGGGAGCTCACCTTCGGATGTCCTGGCTTCAGGATAGGTACCACGAACTTGTGGAGGCACATAGGTATGAGGTTGCCGCTAGGGCGTATATGCTACATCTAGTAGCGTGTACTCTCTTTGCAGATAGGTTTCATGTTTATATTGATACTCGGTACTTGTGGTTGTTCAGTAGCCTTGAGAATAACAGTTGGGCTTTGGGATGCACTGTATTGAACATGTTGTATACTGCACTTAGAGTTGCGATTGTCTTTGACACCATACAACTTGCTTGTTATTTGAGTTTATTCCATCTATACTACAAGTTAATTGTTGTTAAGTTCTTATTTAATTGTTATTTGGTGTTTAAGTCTTAATTATTATTTGTTGTGTCTATCTTCTTTTATCAGTGCTAGATATACGAGCATTTCCCTTCATATATGATGGGAGGGTGCATCATACCCCTATAGGAGCCCCACTGGTGAGGAGATGGAAAGCCAGGAAATCACATCCAGGTGGTATTTTGGAGTACATGAGGAGGCTTGATGCTCTGAGAGTAGAAGATGTCATTTGGACACCATACATAGCTCATTGTGCCTATTGTGAGTTCGACGAGTCTTATTTATATCCAGGTCATATGAGGTGGGAGACCTTTGTGGCTAGAAACTTTCATGAGAGGTGTTTACGACAGTATGTGTATGTTCAGGGCATCTCACGCCCGATTTTGGATGTTCCTACTGGTGGCACTGACAAATGGTTTCAGAGTAACATCACCAGCTCTGCCTGTGCCATTAAGGCTAACGCAGTGAGGGTTCAACATGATACCCAATTTGAGGATGGTTACATGGAGTGGTACCTCACTATATCACACTGTTGTACCCCAAAATTTGCCCTCCCTTTCTTCATGACATTTCTCACAAAAGATCTCAAATGCTCAAGGATTCTCAAAGAGTTAATCAGACAAGCTCACCTCCTAAGCACTGGGTCCAAATTAGGGTTTTGGTTTTCACAAGGAAAATTGAACTTCTAATGCCTCAAATTACTTTCATGGTTCATTATAGGCCTCCAAGGACACTCATACCAAATTTCAAGTCTAGCATCACA